CTTACATTTTGGACTTAACATCCACAGGTCAGGGAGACCATGTGCCATTTGTCTCTTTGTTCTTGGCTTACCTCACTCAACATGATTTCTTCTAGTTCCATTCATTTCCCTGTGAATGCCATTATTTTGTCCTTTCTAATGGCTGCATAATATTCCATTGTATCTAGGCACCACGGTTTTTGGATCCACTCATCTGTAGTGGGGCATCTGGGTTGTTTCCATATATTGCTTATTGGAAACAATGCTGCAATGAACATGGAGGTGCATGTGTCCTTGTATCCTGGTCCCTGTTGTTCAGGATAGATGCCTAGGAGTGGTATGACTGGGTCATAGGAGAGGTCTATATTTAGTTTTCTGAGGTACCTCCACACTGCTTTCCAAAGTAGTATATTAGTGTACATTCCCACCCGCAGTGCAATAGGGTTCCTCTTTCTCTACATCCCCTCCAGCATTTGACTTTAGGATGTGGGCCATTCTGACTGGGGTAAGGTGGTGTCTCAGGGTTGTTTTTATTTGCATTTTCTTTACAGCCAGGGATGATGAACATCCCCTCATGTGTTTCTTTGCCATTTTTATCTCTTCTGAGAAGTCTCTCTTTAGTTCCGTTGCCCGTTTAGTAATTGGTTTGTTAGGTTTGGGAGGGATTAGTTTCTTGAGTTCCCTATATATACTGGATATTAGGCCCTTGTCTGATATATTGCTGGTAAATACTTTTTTTTTTTTTTTTTTTACAATTAGTTGGCTTTCTTTCTACTTTGGTTGCTATGTCTTAAGCTGTGCAGAAACTTTTTATTTTAAGGTAGTCTCATTTATCGAGTCTCTCTCCAATTTGTTGTGACCCCGGGACTCTGTTCAGGAAGTTCCTGCTGTGCCTAATAAGTTCAAGTGTCTCTCCCATTCTGTCCTGCAGTATGTCAGAGGTTGAGGTTTGATGTTAAGGTCTTTAATCCACTTTGTGTTGATGTTAGTACATGGTGACAGGCTGGGGTCCACTTTTAGTTTTCTGCACATGGCTGCCCAGTTTTCCCAGCACCAGTAGTTGAAGAGGCTGTGCTTCTTCCACTGTATGTCTTTGGCTCCTTAGTCAAATATCAGCTGACTGTAGGCATTTGGATTTATTTCTGGATCTTCTAATCTATTCCATTGGTCTTCAGGTCTGTTTTTATGTCAGTACCAAGCTGTCGTTGTTATTATGGCTCTATAGTTGAGTTTGAAGTCTGGCTTCGAGATTCCCTCCCTCGTTGTCTTTTTTGCCTAGAATTGTTTTGGCCCTTGAGCTATTTTGCTCAAGAATAGTGGTCTAACATTTGGAGGTTTAGCTCTGTAGTGGGGAGGTGCAGTGAGACCACTCAGTCCACAGTGAATGTAAAAGATTTTATTGAGCAAAAAGTGCTGACACGCCAGGACCGCACCTGAAGTCCGGAAACCCAGGGAATACCCCGAGTGCCATCCCACCCTGGCCTTTAAGCATTTTTGGCTAGGGCAGGGAAAGGGGAAGTTTGGGTGTTGGGTTTAGCCAATGATTGTTACAAGAAATTCACACCTGGGGCTGGGAAGGTGGCTCAGTGGTAGAGCGCTTGCCTTGCATGCTCGAGGCCCTGGGTTCGATTCCTCAGCACCACATAAGCAAAAAGAAAAAAGCCGGAAGTGGCGCTGTGGCTCAAGTGGTAGAGCGCTAGCCTTGAGCTGAAGAGCTGAGGGACAGCGCCCAGGCCCAGAGTTCAGGCCCCATGACCAGACCCAAAAAAATAAAATAAAATAAAATAGCTAGTTAGTTAACCAGGGAAGTCTTATCCACAGAAAGCACAGTAATATTTATAGCTTAAAATCATTCATTATCCTTTTTATACAACACAAGTCAAATACTATAATATTCCGTGGTACTTCTTCCACCATATCAGCTCCTCTACAGGTTTTTTAGTGGTTAATTGGAGATAAGAGTCTCACTGGGACTCTTCTACCCAGGTTGGCTTTGAACTGGGATCCTCAGATGTCAGCCTCCTGAGTGGCTAGGATTACAGAGGTGAGCCACTGATGACTGGCTCTTGTTTTGTTCTTTGAGAAGCGATCCACATTATCTAGGAAGGCCTGGCTAGATAACTGCTGGCTCCGGTGAGCCTCCTGTCTCAACCTCCAAAATCTCCAAAGTGCTGAGGCTCCAAGACTACGATTCTCAGATTTCCTTCCTTCCTCGCTCCATCCCTCCTTCTTTCCTTCTTCCCTCCCTCCTTCCTCATTAACTTCCTCCCTGATTTCCTGTTTCTATTCTCTCTCTCACCAGAACATCAGTGGTATCTTGTAGGTGTGGTATGTCTGCATATTGAACTACAGAGAACCTGTCTGGTGAGTGGGGTCTGGGGAATACCAGCATTCCAGGACACCTGCCCTTGGGGTCAGACCCCTGGAGGGTGGCTGTGACTGCAATCAGGATCTTCACCACACAGCATCCTGGCTGTGGTCAAAGCAGCCTGGATCCTGTTCCACATGGTCCTCTCCTTTGTGGCAGTCCCCACCCCGAAAGTCTCCAGCAGTTCTCAGGTGTAGCCATTTGCTCTCTCCTCAGGTGCCTGAGGAGCCCCTTAGAGTTCGTCATTGCTGCAGACGGCTGATGGTAGGTCAGCATTCTTGTGCTGGGCATTGGCTACAGCATCATGGCTCTGAGGAACTCCCCAGAGTCTGGATCACAGGCCTAAGACTACATCGCGTCCCTGCCTCCACTCAGACTGGGGGGATCCCAGGTTGGCCATTTGCCCCACAGGTGCGCATGTGGCCTGGAAGGTTTTAGGTGGCACTGAGAGCTAGTCTCTGGAGCAAGGCCCTCCTTCCCAGAGCCCCTCCCTGCAGGCCAGATGCCAAAGCCCTGGACACTCCTCACAGTTGGCTCAGGAGCCTCAGGTGTGGGCTTTGTGTGTGCTGACAACAGGCTTCTCTGCACTTGGCCGGCCTCTGCTGCCCCCTGCTGGTCAGACTCTGCAAGGTGTATTCACCACAGCTGTGTCCCCCCTCCCCATGCTGCCTGCCACCCTGGGGGCTTCCAGCCACTCCTGTATTCAACCAGGTGTGCAAAAGGAAGATGGCTGCATTGTGAATGATGATGGGTCTGGGGAGGTTGAGGAATCACTCCAGTGATTCAGAGGTGGATGTCAGCTTCACCATGTATAGTGTGGTGAGCTGGCACTCAGGGCTGCAGCAAGGTGTGTAAGGCCTCACAGCCCCTGTGGTGAAGCAGTCTGGCCCCAAGTGAGTTAGTGGGCTCCATGGTCAGTGCTCAATGCACAGGTGCCAGTGGCTTCCTGTAGTCATGCCACAGCAGGAAATCAGCCACGGGTTCTCCACTGCACCTGGATTTGGACAGACTCCTTTCCTTCTTTTTCTTTTTGCCAGTTTTGGGGCAAAACTCAGGGACAGGGCACTATCCCTGAGCCTCTCTGTGTTCAAGGAGAGCACTCTACCATGTGAGCCCCAGCACCACTTGAGGCTTTTTCTGTGTGTGTGGTACTGAGGAATTGAACCCAGGGCTTCATGCATGCTAGGCAAGCACTCTACCATTGAGCCACATTCCCAGTCTTAGGACTAGTTTTCTATCAAAGACTCATGAGCATTATATTTTCTTCTTTATGCAGGTACTGAGGATTGAATTGAGGGCTTGGCTCTCTCCCTTAGCCTTTTCCCCCTTGGCTGTCAGTCACTCAGCCACTTGACACAGTTCCAAGTCTGAAGTTTGGTCTGTCCTAACAAAAGTTTGTAGGAGAAAAGAAACTCAAGGATTTTCTTCCTGGACTGTCTGGAAATTGGTATTCTCCAAAAAATTCTCCTGTATACCTAGGATTACAGAAACTGAGCTACTGGTGCCTAAGCCTCACTAGTAATTTTGCTTTTTTCAGTTGTTGCTCATGGGGCATGCACTTTCAACCAGGGTACTGTCCCCGAGTAATTGAGTTCAATGCAAGAGCTCTAGCATTTGAGCATCACCACCACCTCTGGTTTTCTGGTGGTTCATTGGAGATAAGAGTCTGGTAGACTTAGGCTGGGAAGGTGGCTAAGTGGTAAAGTGCTTGCCTTGCACGCCTGAGGCCCTAGGTTCGATTCCTCAGCACAACATAAGCAAAAAGAAAAAAGCTGGAAGTTGGCCCTGTGGCTCAAGTGGTAGAGGGCTAGCCTTGGGCTGAAGAGCTGAGGAACAGCGCCCAAGCCCAGAGTTCAGGCCCCATGACTGGACCCAAAAAAAAAAAGAGTCTGGTAGACTTTCCTGCCGAGACTGGCTTTGAACTGTGATCCTAAGAACTCAGCTTCCTGAACAGCTAGGATTACAGGTGTGAGCCACTGGCACCCGGCTTAATTTTTCTTTTTGTTTAGTCTTAGGGTATGAACTCAGGACCTGACACTATCCCTGAGCTTTTTTGCTCAAGTCTAGCCTTCTAGCAATTTGAACCACTGACCCACTTCAGCTTTGGGGGAGAAAAGAAGGATAATTGTAATGAAAAGTCTCACAGACCTTCCTGTCTTGGTTGATCTTGAATGGGGATCCTCAGATCTCAGCCTCCTGAGTAGCTAGGATTACAGACATGAACCAATGGCACTCTGCTTACAATAACTTATTTATTGTCACACACTAAAATGAACAGAGTAAGTGACTTCATCAGAATGCATTCACTTCTACACAACCATTCAGGAAACAGAAATTCTCTCTTGTTCCTCCCAGGCTGAATGCACACCACTCAGATTTCTTTTTGAGAAGACAGGACACAGGAGCCCATGGTGAGTAGAACATCCCACATCACCGTCCTGACACTGAAAGTGGAAAGCAAAGGAACTTGTTCTCTCCTATATTTTGACCTAGGGAGTGGCAGAGGGTTTGTGTTCCCACTAGGATGTACCAGTGTTCTCCACTACAGTCCTCCACTCTACCAACTGAGCTATCGAAGGCTCCGCTGGATGTACCAGTGTTCTAAAGGAGACATTCAGGATCATTTCGAAGGAACCTAAGGAAACAGCATAAACTATTCCTGGGCACAAACCCCACAGTAGTTGAAGTCCCTTGTAAGGGAATATTCCTCTGTTAAAACCCAACTGTCACTGGGGGCCAGGTTATAGAACTGGTTCTTTTTACAGCCTGTGCATGAGTAAGTGCAGATCTGGACCTTATGGGCTGGCTGTAGGTCCCTCAGGATCTGTACCAAGCTCACACAAACCTGGGCAAATCTCTCCTTGTTGACTTCACATCCATACAACAAACATTCGTGGTCATAGCTCTCCACAGGGGCCGGATACAGCCCTCGCTGCAACTGCCTCAGCCTGGCTGTGTGGCTCAGCAGGTTCTGCAGGGCAGCCAAGGACATGCGGTTCCCATAGATGCTGAAGAAGCTCAGCTGGGAGCACTGGCTCAGGGCGGGCAGGATGGCAGAGAGCTGGGCCTCAGTGATCCCACAGTGCTCTATGGCCAGGGCCTCCAGGGTGCCAGACACTCTCTCCAACAGAGCTCGGAGGGGCCCAGGACCCAAGTCACCCAAATACACAGTCCTGAGACGCAGGTGCTTGAGCTGACTGGTGGAGGGACACAAGGACAGACACCTCAGGTCTGCTTCATTCAGTGGACTTGAAATCAAAGACAGAGTGGTCAGAGGCTTGAGGGTCCTGAGGAGAGAGCAGAGAGACTGGGTGAATGGTGGTGGTGAGCAGAGCAGACTCGGGTAGGAGATGGTCAGCAAAGGTTGTCCTGCTGCACCGAGGGAGACCAACCACACGATGCAGCTGGCTGAGACCCCTGTCACTCCACCATCCCAGCCTGATGCCTGTCAGTGCCACCTGAGCCTGGCCCAGGCCGCACCCTCTCCAGCCCACTCTCTAGTCCCCTCTCCTCACTGTCTGGACACACCACTGGGCTTCCTGCCTGAAGGACCCAACCACCCATGCATCTGAGCATCGCAGCACAGCATGCTTTCCTCTTCCCCTTGCTTCCAGTTTCTATCCTGTGAGCTCAGACTTGCTTCCTGTAGAGGAACTCACAGCCACTCACTTCTACATAGGACTCCACAGCGGGCTTCCTGCCCTGAGCACACTCCCAGCATGCACCCTGCTTTCTGATGTCATTGGAGACCAGGGCAGAACTAAGCAGCACCCTCAGGAGGAGGAGCCTCTTCCTGTGTCTCCTCAGTCCCCTCAGCCCCGCAGTCACCCCACACAGTTGAGCCCCTTTCATATCTACCCACCCCAAGTTCAGCTCAGCCCTGTGTGCTCACTGAGCTTTTCTGCTCAAGTCTATCTTTCTACCAATTTGAACCACTGCTTCACTTCCAGTTTGGGGGAGGAAAGGCAGATGACAATAGGTAAAAGTCTCACAGACAATCCTCTCCCTGGCAGCTTTGACTTAGAATCCTCACCTGAAGACCTTCTCCAGCTTCTCATGAGGGAAGAAGCCTTCACATTCATTAATTTGGCGATTTCCATGCAGCACCACTTCAGACAAGTATTTGAGTAAATTCTCCAAGATGCAAGAACAACATTCCATTTTCATCTTAGCCAGAGAAAGCTTGCGAAGGTTCTTCATCTGGGTCAGATAAGGAACCATACTTTCCAGTGTTTTGTGATGCCAGAAATCATCCACAACCAGCTCCTGGATGGAGTCCAGATGAAGCACTCCAAGAGTGCTTTGTATTTGAGAGGTGGAGCCAGAGGTGGAGGCAAACAGAACCTGCAGCTTCTTAGAGCACAGCTGAACCTGGTCTCTTCTTGTCTCCGCCCACTGGAGCACGTGGGCCAGCACACAATCCCAGGGGCCATCACTGATGGTGACATCCAAGAATATCCTGAAGGAGGGCTCCTCCCTCAGGGCTGCACAGTGATTGGCTGCTGGCTTGTCAGTCAGGGCTGCTGCTGAGCAGGCTTGAGACATTGCTATGTACCCTGACGTCCAGATGTTCAGGGACATATTCTGCAGATCTAACACTTGCAGTTTGCATCTACAGGGGAGACACAGGACAGTCTCAGAATAGACATGGCAGAACGGCCACTTTCTGCTTCATCATTATTTGATCTAGCCAATATAACGTACTATATTTCCTCCTCCTTTTTCCTAGTTTCTATCTTTGTCTTTTTTCTTTTTATTGTGCACGAGTAATGGGTCCTGAATACAGGGCATGGATGCTGTCTTTTACGTTGTTGTTCTCCAGGCTCGTTGTTCTACCATTGGAACCACACCTCAACTCTTTTTGGGGGGTGGGGCAGGGGTGTCTGGTCATGGGGCCTGAACTCTGGGCCTGGATGCTGTCCCTAAGCTGTTCAGCTCAAGGCTAGTTCTCTGTCACTTGAGCCACAGGAGCAAGGAGTAAGAGACTCAGAATTTCCAGCCCAGGCTGACTTTGAATCTAATTCTCGGATCTCAGCCTCCAGAGTAGCTAGGATTACAGGAGTGAGCCGATAGGGCTAGTCTTTGGCTTTATTTGGATTAGAGATAAGAACCTCAGACACTTTCTTACTCAGGTTGATTTTTCAACTTCTCAGCCATCTAAGTAGATAGGATTATAGGAGTGCACCATTGAAATCAAGAAACTTTTCCCAGCCTTTCCCCACTTCATCACCACAGCCAGCTGTAGGTGGTAATCCGGCAGCCATGCCTGCAGCCATCCCTAGCAACCCTCCGAACCCAGGGGCCACTTCCACAAGGAGCTCTGCAGGAATTCCTAGGATCCTCTGGACCCCAGGTCTCCCCTGAGTCCATCGTACTCTGGCCGACTCCAGTTTGTCTCATCCCCAGACTCTGTGGTCCTCCCTGGCTCCCAAAATGTGTCCCCCTTACCTGGGCCCCGCTCCCTGCTCAAGCAGCACATCAAGGCCCTCCAGGGTGACTTGTAAGATCTCCAGGTCAGCTGAGCCCACCAGGGCCCCCAGGGGGAGGCAGGCAAAGGGCCAGGCCTGCACCATGGCCTTCAGCACCTCCATGCGTCTCTTGGCAACCACCTCTCTGCACAGCGTGGAGAAGAGATCCAAGGGGAGGACGTCCAGAGCAGAGATGGCCAAGGCCTGGTCCTCTAGCAGGCTCTGCATGGCCAGCTGCCGCAGTGTGGGCAGGGACATGGTGCTCAGTGTGCTGGAGCCGCAGGGAGAGGGCCTGGGAGCACACAGGAAGAGGCAGCTTTAGCGGTTGAAGCTGAGAAGTCCCTTCTCAGAGAGAACTCATCTCAAAGTCCACATCCCGACTCCAGCCATGGGGAGATGTCAGTTCACGCCCTTTCCACATAGCCCTGATGCCCCCCCAACCACAGCGCTGGGACACAGGGCAGCAGGATGCTCCCCACATAGACAGCCCCAAGCTCATCATGGTCCCATCCAGTTCCAGCCACTACTCTGAGCTCTGGACCCAATTGTCAGGGATAATGAGGAGCCTAAAGGTCAGCCCAAGCTGTGTGTGTGTGTGTGTCCCTGTCCTGTGACTTGAACTCAGATCCTGATACTTTCCTTGGGGGCTAATATTAGTGCTCTACTACTTGAGCCATAGCTGCCTTTCTGTCATTTTCATGTTTAATTGAAGATCAAAGTATCAAAGACTCTCCTACCTGGGCTGTCTTGGAACACAGACCCTCAGATCTCAGCCTTCTAAGTAGCTAGGAGGCCTGGAGTTAGCAAAGAGCACATGAAACACCCTAGCTAATATACTTAAGATCTGGCCATCACTCAGAAGTGCTAAAAGAAAAGCCACAGGAATGCCAGCTGTCTACTCTCTGTCCTCTTTTCTATCCGGATGAGAACTACATCCAATAGGCTCCATTCGTTTTCAGTGTCACCACTGGTACTGAGCAATAGTTACACAGGAACAGGTTGGTGCTGTGTATGGAAAGCACCACCTCTGAGATGGGACCCTCACCCAAGACTGACAGAAAGACAGACTCACTGGGCTGCTCTTCCACCCAGGAGATGTTCCCCACTGCCAGAGGAGGAGGGGTTGGGGGGACACAGATCAGGACAAGGCTCCACCTTTCAGGAACTGCTTCTGTCAAGGAGGTGGAGCTGTATGGTGGGAGGTTCCCCAGCACCTAGGAGGACCTGGGTTAGAACACAGGACCAACACAGAGAAAGAGAATCTCCAAAACACCCAAAACTTGTCCTATAGCCACTCCCCCCACACACCCTCTGAAATGAATTACTATACAGAAGAAAGAGAGTCATAAAAAAGGGAGAGAAAGCCAGCATCCCCTAGAATGTGGGGCTTGAACTCAATGCCTCTTGTTTACCCTTAACTTCCCTACTCAAGGCTGCCAGTCTTCCACCAGAACCACATATCCAATTCTGAAATTTTGCTGCTTACATGAAGAGAAGATCTCAAGAACTAGAAATGTGGCTTACTGGTAGAATGCTTGCATAGCACGCATGAAGCCCAGGTTTCCATTCCTCAGTACCACAGCCAAAGAAAACACAAAGTGGTGCTGTGGTTCAAGTGGCAGAATGGTAACCTTGAGCAAAAGCAACTCAGGGACAGCTCCCAGGTCCTGACCTCCATCCCCAGGACTGGGAAATAAAAGCCTCATGGATTTCTATCTGGGCAGGATCTGAACCACCTCTGATACCAGTCTCCTGAGTAGCAAGGGTTAGTGGTATAAAACTCTGGTATCTGACTGGATTTATTGGTGCTTAAATTTGTATTGGTTTTTGTGCTAGCACTAGAGATTGACCTTTAAGGCCTGGGTGCTCTTCCTGCGGGCAGGTCAAAGCCAGTGCTCTACCACTTGAGTCACAGCTCCTGTCAAGGTTTATTTATTTTTGAGGAGATCAGAACCTTCTCCACCCAGAATATCCACTTACTTGGATTCTTCACTCTTAACTAACCTCAAGTTGATAGGATTACAAACAGGAGCCACAGATTCTTTTTTTTTTTTTGGGTCCGGTCATGGGACCTGAACTCTGGGCCTGGGCGCTGTCCCTCAGCACTACAGCTCAAGGCTAGCGCTCTACCACTTGAGCCACAGCGCCACTTCCGGCTTTTTTCTTTTTGCTTATGTGGTGCTGGGAATCGAACCCAGGGCCTCAGGCATGCAAGGCATGCACTCTACCACTGAGCCACCTTCCCAGCCTGAGCCACAGATTCTTGACTTGAACTCAATATTTAAATAATCAAAATTGAAGCGTGGCCTAGTGGCTCTCACCTGAAAGCCCAGCTCCTGTGGAGTAGAAATTGAGAGAATTGAAGTCCTATCCCATCAGTTACCAACCACTTGGCATGGTGGTTCTTATCTGTCATCCCATAATGCCAAGCATGAATTACTAGGGTCCTGGGGACTCAGCCTTGTAATCCTAGTTGCTCAGGAGGCTGAGATCTGAGGATCCAGGCTCAAAGCCAGCTTGAGCAGGAACGTCTGTGAGACCCTCATCTTCAATTGACCACCAGAAAACTGGAAGTGGTGCTGTGGCTCAAAGTGGGAGAGTGCTACTTTTGAGCAAAAAGATCTCAGGGTCAGCAGCCAGGCCTCTACTAAAAGCCCCACAACTAATTAAAAAAAAAAAAAAAAGCATGGATGTTTGGATCTGAGTGTTCAGGATAAATATTGAGACTCTATTTAAAGCTGGAAGAGAAGTTGTGTCTTTAGGAGTATAGTGAAAGCCTTGAAGGAAAAAGTTGAATGACAATGCCCAGACCTTAATTTCAAGCTCTAGTACAAACAATAAGAAAGTAAAGAATTATTGAAAAATTACAAGGCAAGCGCTGGTGGCTCACACTCCTAATCTAGCTCCTAAAGAGCCTGAGATCTGTGGAACAATTCAAAGCCAGTCTAGGAGGAAAAGTCTGAGACTCTTTTTCCCCCCTACAGTGAAGGGCTTTGAACTCTGGGCATGGCTCTGTCCTTCACCATTTCAGCTCAATGCTAGTGCTCTACCACGTGAGCCATAGAGCCATGTCTGGTTTTCTGGGTGGTTTATTGGAGATATTAGGCACACAGACTTTTCTCAACTGGGCTGCTTTTGAACCCTGATCCTCAATCTCAGCCTCCTGAGTAGTAAGGATTTCAGTTGTGAGCCACCCATGTCTGATAAGTCTGTGACTATGTTCAAAAACACAAAAAAGCTGGAAGTAGATCTGTGGATCAAGAGGTAGATAGCCTTGAGGAAAAAAATCAGGACGGTGCCAAGGCCCTGAGTTCAAGCCTCAAAATTGGCACATATACACACACACAAAACCAACCCCAGGGAATGGTAATGTGGCTTAGTAGTAGAGTGCTTGCCTAGCATGAATCGAGCCCTGCATTCCATTCCTCAGTACCACAGACACAGAAAACCAAAAGTGTTGCTGTGGCTCAAAGTGGTAGAGTGCTAGCCTTGAGCAAAAGAAGCTCAGGGACAATGCCCAGACCCTGAGTTCAAGCCCCAGGACAAACACAAAAGAAGAGGTCCAAATCACAATGCTCTGTGGCATACTGGACCTCCTGTCACCCCTGGCACTGGCTGAGGGGAATGCTGGCGGGTCCTCATGGAGTTGGGTCTTACCAGATGTGGACAAATCAGCAGGGCTCTCTGAAGGGAGCAGGCACAGGCAGTGACTCCACTTACCAGGGTTCTTAACTCCCCTGGCTCCTCTGAAGCTTTATTCCCCCTGTCTACTGGTCCTACCCTTGGCCAAACTCACAGTGTCCAATCAGAAAGCAGCATCTGCTCAGTCCTGAAGCTCCACCCACTTGATCCTGATTGGATTTCTGCCTTGTCCAGGGGGTCCTGGAGGAAAGGGGGAGGGTAGGGAGAAGGAAAGTTTAACACCCAGTCCTGACTTGTGTGCGCTGCAACGCTGGTGCTTCCCTCACTCCTCTGTGTCCTTCACGTCCAAGTGTGTGAGACAGACAGGCTTGCTCTGCTCTCCACCACAGGCCGTAGATGTTTTGCCTCTAGCTAGGAGGCCCATAGTCACTGACAAAGATAATCTGGCTGTGTGTGTGTGTGTGTGTGTGTGTGTGTGTGAGAGAGAGAGAGAGAGAGAGAGAGAGAGACAGACAGACAGACAGACAAACAGAGAATCCGACACAGACACAGACACAGACACAGAGAGTGTGTGTACTGGGGCTTGATCTCAGTATCTCACACACTGCCCCTTCAGTTTTGCAGATCAAGCCTAGCACTCTGCTCTACCACTTGAGCTACACCTCCACTTCAGGCTTTTTGGGGGTTAAAATTGGAGATAATAGTGTTCAGGAAACCAGGCACAGGTGGCTCATGCCTGTAATCCTAGCTACTCAGGAGGCTGAGATCTGAGGATCATGGTTCCAAGCCAGGCTGGGCAATGAAGGCCTGAGACTCTCATATCCAAATAACCAAATAACCACCAGAAAAATGGAAGTTGCAGGGGTCTTCAAGTAGTAGAGTCCTTGTTTTTTGCTAAAGAGCTCAAGGACAGTGTCCAGGCCCAAACTTTAAGCCCTTGGACCATGGAGAAAAACAAAAAACAAAAAACAAAACAGGCTTCAGGCATCTGGGAAGGTGGCTTAGTGGTAGAGTGCTTGCCTAGCATGCATGAAGGCATGGGTTCAATGCCTCAGTACCACATAAACAGAAAAAGGCAGAAATGGTAGAGTGCTAGCCTTGAGCACAAAGAAGATTAGGGACTGTGCTCTTTCCAGGACTTCAAGGCCTAGGACTGGCAAAAAAAAAAAATTCTTCAGGTCATTTTTCCTTATCTGGGCTGGTGTCCAACCTGGATGATCACATCTCAGCCCCCTGAGTAGACAGAATTACAGTCCTGAGCCACTAGCACTCAGATGATAAGTTTTCTGTGTGTTTAAGGGGAGAAATAAAGTGATCTTGTTGATCTGAGGTTTGTTTTTTGTTTTTGTTTTAGCTTTTTTGCTTTTGCCTGATAAATGCACCCAAATTCAATGTGGCAGTTTACTGCTAGACTCTCAGCTGTTAGGGATGCTGAAGGGAAAATTACTTGCAGAATGGCTTAGTACTACATTCTGATATCTTGTTTTGGTTAAACAAACCACCAAATAATGAAAACAGAACTATAAGCCAAACAACATGGCTCCTGCCTGAATCTTAGCTACTCACGTGGCAGAGTTCCAAGGATTGAAGTTCAAAATAAGGCTGGGAAGAAAATT